ATTTTTGTGTCCGTGAGGGCATCTGATTTTCCTCATTTGCAATGTCTGGGGGAAAGACTGAACTCAGCCCCTGAAATATTAACAACAGAGAATAACACCTCAAGGGTGTCCCTGGTCCTCAAGATCTGGATCAATGGCCTAACTCCCCAAGTCCATAGCCTATTAAGTCCTAAGCCTTGTTCCAGATTCCAGCAAATCCCTGGGAGATCGATGTTCTTGTGGTGTCCTCCTCCTCCTCCTCCTGCTGCTCAGCATTGTGTCCGCCCAGACACCAACCGCAGCTTTTTTACTCATTTCCACCAAAACACAGCACTCACTCCACCAAAACATTCCCGAGTAGACTTTTCTAAAGAACTGAGGGAGCAGGGAGCAGCCTCAGGAAGGGTTCACATACGCACAAGAAGACAACGAACGATCTGCTTAAAACCCTTATTAGACATTTCTATTGTTCTAAAGTCCTGACCACCCAGACATGGGGGATTCCTGTCCTGGCCCATCCCACCAATGCCCCAGACTTACTCACTTCACTTCCTCCCCACACCTCTTTTTCCTTGCCCCGCCCCCGCGCCGGGGGGGCGGGGCCCGCGTCTCTCCCCACCCCTCCCTCTGGAGAGCACCAGACGAGTCCCTGTCCTCAACTCACTCACAGAGCTTCCACCCCCTCTCAGGAGCCTCGCCCATAGCTGAAACCCAGGCCTGGGGATTTCACCTTCTAACCGATCTAAGGTGTTTTCCCAACAAACACCGTTCCTTTCTAAAATGAATTTTGGAGCCATCCGTTAAGAAAACAGAAGTGTTTCCTAACTTGATTGTAAAGTGCCTGGGATATACATTTGATGAATAAAGTTCCATCCACTCCTTTGTTCCTCTCCATTTATGTAATACACTGTTGATCAATAATAATTACATGATGACTAAGGCGTTTCTGCTCCTTTCCACATTCCTGTGCTGGTTGAGAGGGCACCCTCAAATAAAGTCCCTAGTGCTTGTATTTTCCCAATAGCTATAGGCTTGCAAAGACTAGTGCCAAATACTGACTTCCCAACTTACTAGCTGTGTGGCCTTGTGCAAATTACTTAACCTCGCTGGCCCCAGTTTCTCCAACCATAAAATGAAGTGATAGACTAGCTTATGGACTTCTTGGGAGGACTACATTCATTCATTCCTGTAAAGTGCTTAGAACACAGTAAGGGCTCAGTAAATATTAGCTGCTCCTTTTTTTTTTTTTAGTATCATTTTTTTTTCAACGTTTATTTATTTTTGGGACAGAGAGAGACAGAGCATGAACGGGAGAGGGTCAGAGAGAGAGGGAGACTCAGAATCGGAAACAGGCTCCAGGCTCCGAGCCATCAGCCCAGAGCCTGACGCGGGGCTCGAACTCACGGACCGCGAGATCGCGACCTGGCTGAAGTCGGACGCTTAACCGACTGCGCCACCCAGGCGCCCCTCCTTTTTTTTTTTTAAGTCCCTTTCTCCTTAAATAGTGTGACTTTTGTACTTTAATAAAGTCAACCTTGAGCTAGAGACTAAAGTGGCAGGGTCAGGGTTCACCTTGGCTCAAGGCCATACCCTGCTAATAGTCTAGGATGGCCAGGCACTAACTCAGCTGGAGCCTACAGTCAGAGATGGAGGGGGTAGTGGGACATGATGAAAATATAATCCAAACTAGAGTGGCCGAAACTGGCAGAAATACAGACTGCCCCGGGTCTAGTTCATTTCCGGGTCAGAGGACGAGGTCCAAGGTTGGAGGGTCCCGGGGCTGGCTAGCATCATGATGACCTGTCCTAGATCCGGGGGGAATCTCTCAGAGGCCCCTCAAATTTCCTTAGTTTCACAAGAGGATGAGAAGAATTGAGACAACATGGACCCTCCCAGGGAGGATAAAGTCTACCCTGTAGAGTCTGCAACCCCAAGAGTAGACAGATTGCTTGACGAAATGGCCAAAGTGGCCCATACAGTTCAGGTTGCCATTCTCATGGCCATATCTGACTGCTGAATACCATTTCCCTGTAACCTACCCATCCCCTGGAGCCTCTGCCCCACATAGGGACAGGCTGGCTTGAACTGGTTCGCTGCAGCCTCTGAAAAAACAGGGTTAGGAATGGAGTGGGAGAGCCAGGCATGGGCTGGGTGAAACCGGCACCTCCCCAGGTGGGCCTAGGCAAGGGGAGGAAGAAGGGAGTGAGAAAGCTTTGAGGGGGACTGCAGGGCACATCTTGATGGGAGATGGGTCTATTTGCAGAAGGCAGAGTTGTCTGGGTCGGACACAAAGGGCTGAGCAGTGACCGGGAGGGGAACAGAAGATTATAGCTCAGTTACAAGGCAAACATATCTGCACAAACTCATTTGGAGTTCAGTCCCTCCTTCCATGAATACATTATCTGTTTGACTTTATAAATGCTCCCTGCACACCTGAGTCTCCCTTGTGCGGCTTCGGGGTCCTGCTGGTCCATGCTGCCATGGCTGTGTCGGGGCCAAACAGACAAGGAGACAGGTTGTGTGTTTTGACTCTCCATCCCTGCAGTGACCCTGAAGAAGCGTCTTTCTTCTTGGGGCATTAAAAAAAATTTTTTTTTTCAACGTTTATTTATTTTTGGGACAGAGAGAGACAGAGCATGAACGGGGGAGGGGCAGAGAGAGAGGGAGACACAGAATCGGAAACAGGCTCCAGGCTCTGAGCCATCAGCCCAGAGCCCGACGCGGGGCTCGAACTCACGGACCGCGAGATCGTGACCTGGCTGAAGTCGGACGCTCAACCGACTGCGCCACCCAGGCGCCCCCCAAAAAAATTTTTTTTAATGTTTATTTATTTTTGAGAGAGAGAGAGAGAGAGAAAGAGAGAACAATGGGGGAAGGTCAGAGAGAGGGAGACACAGAATCCAAAGCAGGCTCCAGGCTGTCAGCTCAGAGACTGACGTGGGGCTTGAACCCATGAGCCGTAAGATCATGACCTGAGCTGACACTGGACGCTTAACCGACTGAGCCACCCAGGCGCTCCCTTCTTGGTACATTTTTGCCCCTGCACCACCCATCAGCCTGATCCTTTTTGCAGAAGTGTGTACTTAAAGGAGGAAGCAAGGCAGCCAGAGTAGCAGAGGGCTCAGGCCAATCCAGGGCAGCGAGCCTGTGAAACGGAAGAGCAATTGCAAGGAAACAGAAAGGGTCCTGGGGATTTTATTCGGGAGCAGATGACTCTGGCGACTCTCTTCTTTCTGGTGGGATCTACCCCCTGCCAGAGAGTTTTGTCATCTGGAGGGACACCTAGGGCTGGCAGGACCTCTCTGTCTGTCCCTTGGTCCTGAGGTTTGAGGCTGGATCCTGCAGGCTGGGGCACATGCTAACTCCAGGCCCGCCAGTGCAGGCACTCGAAGCGGGACTGTTCTCCCAGAGGCCTTTGTCTTGGTCAAAGGGCTGAGCCTAGCTTCTCCTGAGGTTTTGTTTGTTTGGATTTTTTGTTTGCTTGCTTGCTTGCTTGTTAATTGTGGTAAGAACACTTAGCATGAGAGTTTTAACACACTTTTAAGTATATAACATATTGTACAATGTTGTACAGCAGACCTCTGGAGATTCTTTATTTGCTTAACAGAAACTTTATGCCATTGATTAGTGATTCCTCCACCTCTGAAACCACCATTCCACTCTTTGACTCTATGAATTTGACTATTTTAGATACCTCATGTAAGTGACATCACGCAGTATTTTTCTATGACTTGCTTATTTCACTTAGCATAATGTCCTCAAGTTTCATAAATGTCACCAATTGCACAATTTCCTTCTTTTTAAAGGCTGAATAGTATTCCATTGTATGCACACATATCACATTTTGTTTATCCATTCATCCATTGGTGGACATTCAGGTTATTTCCACATCTTGGCTATTGTGAACAATACTGCAGTGAACACAGGAGTATGGACATCTCTTCGAGATCCTGAAAATAAACAAGTGGGACTCCATCAAACTAAAAAGCATCTACACAGCAAAGGAAACATCAGAGTGAAACACAACCCACAAAATGGGAGAAAATATTGCACACTTTCCAACTGATAAGAGGCTAATCTCCAGAATATATAGAGAACACCTACAATTTAATTGTAAGAACAAAAACAAAAACAAACTAATAGCCCAATTATTAGTTGGGTTATTAGCCCATTGAAAATGAGTTAATGACCTGAATAGATAGTTCTCCAAAGAAGACACACAGGTGGCCAACCAGCCTGAAAACATACTCAACATCACTCATCATCAGAGAAATGCAAATCAAAACCACAACGAGAAATCACTCACACCTGTCGGGATGGTTATCCTATCATTAAAAAAAGAAAGAAGATAACAAGACAACAAGTATTAGTGAGGGTGTGAGAAATTGGAAGCCTTGTGCACTGTTGGTGGGAATCCAAAATGGTGCAGCTTCTATGGAAAATAGCATGGGAGTTCCTCAAAAAATTAAACCTAGACGGACCCTATGATCCTGGGATCCCACTGCTGAGTTTTCATCCAAAAGAGCTGCAATCAACATCTCAAAGAGATAGTGGTGCTTCTCTCAAAGTCTTGCTGCCCAGATCCCTACAGCAAGCAACACGGGTCCCCTGTTGCTTTTAAACCCAATAAAATAAAACCTCACACCGAAGCCCCGAACCCAGGCAGAATCCTAGGCCCTCCCCACCGCGCGCCCAGACCTGCCCTCCAGGAACAGTGGAATCTTGCTCCCCTGCCGGGGGGGGGGGGGGGGGGCCCCACCCCCCCGGCCGCCGGGACAAGCTAGGGGAAGGTCGGGGCACGCCTGGCTGTGGGGCAATCGGCCCTCGTCAGGCGGCCGCGCTCGCCGGAGCAGCGTGACGCGGCGACCGGAGGGCGGCGACGCGGGGGGCCGAAACGGGCGGTGCGCTCCCCGGCGCCCGGCTTCCTGGGCGGCCGCTAGCCAAGCTCGGCCGGCGGGGGCGGGGGCGGGGCGCGGCCTTAAAAGGCCGGGAGGAGTGACCGTGCCCGGGGGTCACCGGCACAGGGTCGGCCGCTGTCACACGCGCCCCAGCTCGGCCCCGTCCCGCGCGCACCCGGGAGCACGGCGCACAGTCGCGCTCGCACCGAGTCCGGCCAGCCCTTCCGGCCCGTCTCCGAGAGCCCTCATGGGCCCCGAGGCCACCTGCCCGTGGAGCGGCCCCCTGCCTCGCCTCCGGGTGAGGACCTTGATCGAGCCCGTGGTGGCGTCCACGCAGGTGGCCGCCTCCCTCTACGAGGCGGGGCTGCTCCTCGTGGTGAAGGCGTCCTTCGGAGCCGGGGCCTCCTCCAACCACAGCGCCAGCCCGTCGCCCCGGGACGCTCTGGAGGACGAACAGCAGAGGGCCATCTCCAACTTCTACATCGTCTACAACCTGGTGGCGGGCCTGACGCCCCTGCTGTCCGCCTACGGGCTGGGCTGGCTCAGCGACCGCTACCACCGCAAGATCTCCATCTGCGTGTCCCTGCTGGGCTTCCTGCTCTCCCGCCTGGGGCTGCTGCTCAAGGTGCTGCTGGACTGGCCCGTGGAGGTGCTGTACGGGGCGGCGGCGCTGAACGGGCTGTGCGGCGGCTTCTCCGCCTTCTGGTCGGGCGTCATGGCCCTGGGATCCCTCGGCTCCTCCGAGGACCGCCGCTCCCTGCGCCTCATCCTCCTCGACCTGATCCTGGGCCTGGCGGGATTCTGCGGGAGCATGGCCTCGGGGCACCTCTTCAAGCAGATGACTGGGCACCACTCGGGGCAGGGCCTGGTGCTGACGGCCTGCAGCGTGAGCTGTGCCACTTTTGCACTTGTGTACAGCCTCTTGATACTGAAGGTCCCCGAGTCGACGGCCAGTCCCAGGACGGCACTCCCCGCTGTGGATACGGTGTCAGGCACAATTGGCACGTATCGTACCCTGGATCCCGATCAGTCAGACAAGCAGGGTGTGGAGGGGTACCCTCCATCTCCCGGGAAAGCAGTGCCCAAAAAGACTGTCATCGCCCTGCTCTTTGTGGGTGCCGTCATATATGACCTGGCAGTGGTGGGCACCGTGGACGTGATGCCCCTTTTTGTGCTCAGGGAGCCTCTCAGGTGGAATCAAGTGCAGGTGGGCTATGGTATGGCAGCCGGGTACACCATCTTCATCACCAGCTTCCTGGGCGTCCTGCTCTTCTCCCGCTGCTTCCGGGACACCACTATGATCGTGATTGGGATGGTCTCCTTTGGGTCGGGAGCCCTCCTCTTGGCTTTCGTGAAAGAGACATACATGTTCTACATCGGTGAGTCTGGCATTCTCGGGGAGGCAGGACGAGGGCACGGCCGGCCCCTTGAGTCGTGGGGCCGACACCAGGGATGCTGTGGTCCGGGTGTCCCTGGCTCAGCAGCAGAGACCATACCCCCTGCCTAGGAAGTTACGAGGGAGACAGGATCATGTGCAGTTGAGTTCATCTGAGTTGTACTGTCTACTGGGCCATCTGTGTTACCCGCCGAAGTGGCCTCAGAGTGATGCCTGTGGCTCTAGGAGGTCAGCGGAGGTTGGTTGGTGGGGCCCGTGGTCAGGAGGGAAGGTTTCAGGTTGGCCTTCGGAGACGGGGTTGGATTTCCTCTCTCCAATTTTAGCAGTTTTTTTTTTTTAATTTTTTTTTCAATGTTTTTTTTATTTATTTTTGGGACAGAGAGAGACAGAGCATGAACGGGGGAGGGGCAGAGAGAGAGAGGGAGACACAGAATCGGAAACAGGCTCCAGGCTCTGAGCCATCAGCCCAGAGCCCGACGCGGGGCTCGAACTCCCGGACCGCGAGATCGTGACCTGGCTGAAGTCGGACGCTTAACCGACTGCGCCACCCAGGCGCCCCTCTTCTCTCCAATTTTAAAGGGATAAAACATTAAGGTAATCAGGCTGAAAAGGTCCCTTAATTAAAGTCATTTGGGGCCAAGCATGGGCTATTCAAAAATGGATAAAAAAAAAAGGCACAAATGCCTTCCACAACCAATGTAATAAATTCTTTCAAGGAAGCAGAATGAAGTTTCCACCTGAGGACACAGGTCGGACAACCACAAGCAGAGAGCTCTTTAGACCAATGTTGGAATAGAACTTTCTACACTGATAGAAATGTCCTAAATCTGGTCTGTCTGATAAAAGCAGCCGCACGCCATGTGTGGCTATTGAGCACTTGAAATGGGGCTGGCACAACTGAGGACCAGAGTTTTCAATTTGACTTGATTTGATTTTAATTAACTCATATAGTCACACGTGGCCAGTGGCTAACACATTAGAAAAAAACAACTCTACACGGTTATCAGAGGCTCTCCCTTGGCTGAGGTCACACATCTCAGAAGACACCTAACAAAACGGCAACTTAGGTTTGGCCGACTCCCGGATAAACGGGCCACGTGCAAAAGCCAGAGTACCCCTCTCCCCTTCCCCTCCCCCCCCCTCTACCTTTGTCCCCCCCCCCCCCCCCCCCCCACACTTAAACACACAGCACATTGGGATTAGGAATAAGGCATGTGAGAAGGAAAGGTGGTGGCGGCTGTATGTGTGCTATACACTCCTGGATGCAGTTTGCCAAAGTTCCTGGCACTGTCTACCAGAGGGCTCCATGAATGGCGACAGAAGACACCTCTGTCCCAGGGACAAGGAGAGGAGCCTAAAGTCACTCCCGTGACATCAGCTCTACTTCCCTAGATGCCACGTAACTCTGCCGACGAAGACACCCTTCACTACCCGTCACCGTGCCAGCTGTGCCCTGCCACCTCGCAGATGGGTCTGCGGCATCTATGGCACCGTCAGAGCTCAGGGACTCAGCCCGCCCCGGAGAGGGTGTCAGCCTGCAGGCAGAGAAACCACTCCCTGCGGGGCAAGCCCGTGGGGATTGTGGGGAGAGGGGGAGGTTCCTGGTGAGGCTTTTGCTTTTTCTGATTGAGTCCTTGGCCAAGCCTGGGCACGACGAGGAGTGTTCTCTTGTGATTTCTTTCCAGCTCGAGCTGTCATGCTGTTCGCTCTCATCCCCGTCACAACCATCCGATCGGCAATGTCCAAACTCATAAAGGACTCCTCTTATGGTGAGTGAAAGGAATCTCTCAGAAGTTCTCTGCCCGGCCGGTTTCAGAGCTGCTTGGCTTGAGGCATAGGGTCCGGACTTGCAAAAGGCCCATGAGACGGTGCCAGAAGCAGCCTTGAATACTCTAGGAACACTCCGGTGTCCATTAGAGCAGAGGGGGTGAAAACAGGAGGGTGGGAGAGACTCAGAAAGTCGGTCACTGAAAAGCCACCGTCAAAGGAGGACACTGCTACCCGCAGGCTGCAGGAAGATGCAGCCGACGGAGCCAGGAGTCCCGCTGGAACGAGCCAAGACTGAGAGGCGGCCCTGGGAAGGATGCGGAGTCTCCTGAGAGCTCCCTAGAGACTCGGCTAGCAGCTAAAATGGAAGGGACAGCAACATATCTTCTTGGTAACCTCTGTCCCTTCCACAGGAAAGGTGTTCGTCATCCTGCAGCTGTCCCTGGCTCTGACTGGGGTGGTGACGTCCACGGTGTACAACAAGATCTATCAGCTCACCATGGAGAAGTTCGTGGGCACCTGTTTTGCTCTCTCCTCCTTTCTCTCCTTCCTGGCCATCATCCCGATTGGGTAAGAAAGGAGAGTCTGGTTTGGGCTGGGGCTTTTGGGCTTAGGTCAGGGCCTCTTGGACCCTCTCCAGTCTATTATCATAAAGAATTATTTATTTGCAGCATTTATGCAGTGGGTTCTGAGGGGGCTCTCCCATAAATAAGAAGTCCTCCTGTTCTCCCAAGCTAATAATCTGCCAATCTGGGAAAACCCCGAACTCGTAAATAATGAATAGAGGGCCACAATCAGCTGGTTACTTCCTGACAGTTTTATACTTCCTTTTGATTAGAGGCTGGGATTAGATATCCTCTTGAACCACTCCAACGTCTTTTCTGAGGTCCTTTTAGAGGAGAATCATCCTGCCTCACTTCCTAGTATTCTCTCCACGCCCTCCAAGAGCTGGGCACCTGGCAGTGCCCCGGAATCTCACATGCCCCTGGACTGTGGGAGCTCCTGGTAGGACTTGAGCAATTCCTTTAATCTCTGTGCGGGAGTCGTCTCATTTGTAAAATAAGAACACTCAGGTCAGGGAGATAACAAGCAGGAGGAAGGCTGGAGAAGCCCAAGAGAGGCAGTCTGCGGGGTGCCTGGGTGGCTCAGTCGGTTAAGCGTCCGACTTCAGCCAGGTCACGATCTCGCGGTCCGGGAGTTCGAGCCCCGCGTCAGGCTCTGGGCTGATGGCTCAGAGCCTGGAGCCTGCTTCCGATTCTGTGTCTCCCTCTCTCTCTGCCCCTCCCCCGTTCATGCTGTGTGTCTCTCTCTGTCTCAAAAATAAATAAACGTAAAACAAAAAACAAAAAAAAAAAAAAAGAGGCAGTCTGGTTCCACAGTAAGAGCACTAGCCTAGGACATCACCAAGATGATCTTTGACCAGCCCTGTGCAGCGTGAGTCCTAAGAGCAAGCCATGTATGTGATTTTAAACTGTCTCATAACGTTTAAAAATGGGAAGACGGGTGAAATTAATTTTTGTAACACATTGGACTTGACCCAGCATATCCAAAATACCGCTCCAACATGTCATCAATTTACAAAATTAATCAATGAGTTTTTTTTTTGTTTTTTGTTTTTTGTTTTTTTTTTAACTAAGTCTCTGAAATCTGGTACGTGTTTTATGCTGATGGCACATCTCAGTTTGGACCCAGGTTGAACACATTTCAGGTGTTAAGCGGCTGGCATAGCTAGTGACCGCTACATTAGACAGCACAGCTTCAATCTGTTTAGGCCTGTTTACCCCTTCTCATTTAGTGAGGTCCTCTCAGGCTTGTATCACTCCCACCAGAGGAGAAAGGAATACAATAAACCTACCCACCATAACATGTGAGGGATTTGATAAAGATTTGCATTTTGTTTTATTTAATTTTTTAAATTTTTTTAATGTCTATTATTTTTGAGAGCGAGAGAGACAGAGAGCAAGCAGGGAAGTGGCAGAGAGAGAGGGAGACACAGAATCGGAAGCAGGCTCCAGGCTCCGAGCTGTCAGCACAGAGCCCGACGAGGGGCTCGAACTCAGACTATGAGGTCATGACCTGAGCTGAAGTCGGACGCTTAAGCTTAACCTACTGACCTACCCAGGCGTCCCATAGATTTGCATTTTTAAAGGGTCTGCCTGGTAGCACAGAGAAGTCTACACATCAGTAATGGTGGCATTACAGGCAGCAGAATAGAAAATAACTGAAGGCAGGTTGAAAGAAGTGGGAAGTGGATGGGGGGAAGACCCTTGTTGGAATTCTCACATCACATCATAATGTGGGTCCCTGCCTACATAGAAGGTTGAGCCTCCTTAGACAGAAGCCATCAATAATGAAGGCTCTTTGCTCTATTTCGTAGTTGAGAAAAGAAAGATTTGAAGTGAAGGAAGGGAAGGAGGGAGGGAGGGGGATGGAGGGAAGGAAGGGAGGAAGGAAGGCAGGCAAGCAGCTGAGAATCTGTGTAAGCAGCGGCATGATTATGAGGGCCTTCTTGGCCCAGTTCTCATTTTTTCAAGGTGTGGGACTGAGCCAGACCTGTCCTCAGACTGCCCAGCCCTTAGGCCTTTTCCTGTGCCCCTATTTTCATGCGAGTCTTGGCTGAATGGGTTGGGCTTAGCTACCAAGACTTAGCACGCAATGCAAATCTGTCAGGAGCCCCAGTTTTTTGTCCAAGTGAGTAATGGATCAGTAGCTGTGCCACTTGGAAGTTTACCCAGCCCTATTTGGCACACGGGCGAAATATTCTCATTAACCTAAACAAACAAACAAACAAAGGAAAACAAGAGAAAACCAGTCTGACTAATGGGTGGCACAGCTAGAGATATAAACGAACGAATGAAAGCCATGAGAAAATCGCACCAGTCATTTTCCTTCCCACAGTTTCGTTGCTTCGCGTGCGTACTAAGTGGGATCCTGTGCCTTTGTTAAGAGACTTCAGGGCACACGAAGGAGGTGGGCCGCCCTTGAACGTCTCACCCCAGCGCGCTGTGTAACACGCACTTGGACTTGGCCATACTTGCCGTGCACAGAGTCTTATATCACAGATGCAGGGACAGAATCTTGTATCAGTCGAGTAAGTACTTGAGTGCTTGTGTGAATGAGGCACGTTAAGTAATTGCTAATTATTTCCCTGTCTTGTGGCCATTCAGCAGTAAAGAGACACATGTGCAAATAAAACCTCATTCGCTGTATGCTGGAATCACCTAGAAAGGCTGAAAAAAATCACTGATGTCTGGATCCCACCCCCAGAGATTCTGACTCGGTTGATCGGGAGAGCAGCCTGGGGCCAGGCCTTTTTAAAAGCTCTCCGGGTTATTCGAATACACAACCAAGATTGAGGACTCTGGTATAAAGGGAGTGTTTCCATTACCTTTCCCTTCCGTGAAGTCACTAAATAAACGAGATCCTGAAAAACTCTTACAGCTAGAAGAGGCCAAGGCTGAGCCATCAATCATCAAGTGACAGCGACAGGGAAAACCAGTAGAGCTTTCTAACCACAGAAAGAAAAGCTACGTTCCAATGACATAAAAGCCCAGGGAGGCATGTCAGAGCAGGGAGGCAGAGGACACAGTGGAGGCAGAAGGCGGGGAGGAGGGGTCCCTGGGTCAGAGCTGCCAACAGCCTGCTTGCCAGAAGGGGCCGTGACCCAGGCCTGCCTGGTACCAGAGTGAGCCCATTTCACGTGACTGTGAGAACCTGCCCTCTCCTGCTTGCTCCTCTTTTTTTTTTAATGTTTATTTATTTTTTGAGAGACAAAGCACAAGTGGGGGAGGGGCAGAGAGCGAGGGAGCCACAGAATCCAAAGCAGGCTCCAGGCTCTGAGCTGTCAGCTCCGACGCGGAGCTCAAACCCACGGACGGCAAGATCATGACCTGTCCGAAGTCAGATGAGCAACCTACTGAGCCACCCAGGCGCCCCACCCTCTTGCTCTTCTTGCAGTTGGGAGATGCTGAAGAAAGAACTTTCTGGCTCTGCCCATCCTCAACCCGCTTGCCACTCTATCCCTCTCCTCCCTCCCCACCTGTTTCTTAGTAATAATAATAGCAACCCTGTAACTAGCTCTTATCATGTGCCAGCTACTACTTAAAATGTTTTAATAAATTTAATCTTCCCCCAAAGCCCTCTGACGTAATTACTATTACTGTTCTGCAAATAAGGATACAGAGGCGCTGAGGTATCACGTAACCTGCCAAAGGTTCAGAGCCCGTAGTAAGTGGCAGAGACAGGATTTGAACGCAGGCAGTCTCTGATCCTCTACACCGCACTGCTTCTTAGTAGAGTCACCAGGTGCCAGGGTGCCACCTGTGCCGTCTCCTTAGAGAGCTCCCTCCGCGGGCTAGCTGCGCTCTCCTGAATTCTTACCGGAACGGACACGCGAGCGGCCACCCTCTCTCTCCCCAACCTCCTCCTCACGGTCAGCTTCTGCAAAGGCTCGTGTGCACCTGCTGCCTGCGTCCTCACCGCCCACTCACTTCTCAGCCCAGACGTCCGAGGTCCCCCCTCGACCAGCAGCGCTCTTCTCACTAGGGCCGCCGACCACTCTTCAAAGCTGGATCCAGTGGACTCGCTCAGCCCTCATCTCACCCCACGTGATTTCTCCGCGGCCCCAGCACCCGTGCTCACTCTTGGCCATCACTGGGCTTTCTCAGCACCTCATCACTTCTTCTCTACACACCTCCAAATGGAAGATTCTTTGGGGCTCTGCTCTGGGTTCTCGCTTCATATGCTCTCTCGAAGCAATCTAAAGCACTTTCAAGACTTCAAATTACCACCTGAGTTTCCAAAATTGGGTTCTTGACGCCTTCCTGCGCCTGCTCCCCCTCCAGCCTTTGCCGCCTCGCTAAATGGCACCGCCACTCACCCGGGGGAGGAACCGTCACCGAAGTCTGCCCTCAACTTCACCTCCCACACCTCCAATCCATCATGCCTCACTGACTCTACCTTCAAAACGGTCCTCAAATTCATCCTTTTTTTTTTTTTTTTTTTTTTTTAAATCACTACTGCTACCACCCCTAGGCCAGAGCACTTGAACGACCGGATTAGCCTCTGGACCATTCCTCCCATGTCCACTCTTGTTCCCTCCCATCCTCTCTCCACCAGGTGCCCAGAGCAATTTCCTTCAAGTGTTTAAACAGATCACATCATCGCCTGCTCAGAGCTCTGCTCTTGGCTTTCACCGCTGTTAGGATACAAACCCAATGTCTTCCCATGGACCACAAGGTCCTCTGTAACCTGGCTTTGCCAACCTCCGTAATTTCTGTTTCTGTCACTAACCACCCTCCGCGACCCCAGGTGTCAGCCCCAGGAGCAACCCTCATGCTCTTCCCCCTTCTGCGCCCATGCCTCCTTCTTAACCCAACTAGATGTGGTCTTAAGCAGCATTTTCTCAAAAAGCTTTTGAGACAAATCCCTTTCTTAATCTAAATTAGGTCCTTTTGTCATATGCTCCCAAAGCTTCCTCCATTTTCCTTCATAGCCTGATAGTTGACGGTTAGGGGTTATCTTTTCATACGCTTGCCTACCAGACTGTAGGCTCCCTGAGGGGAGGAACCATGGCCGTTTGGCTCAGCACATATCATCTGTGTCCAGCAGAGAGGCTGGCCTGTAAGAAGTACTCAAAAAGTATTTGTTTAATGAACGATCTGTTGGAAGGGTGTGGCACCTACTAGCCGGCATTGCTGGCCATCCGTATCCCAGAGCTGCCTGTGGGCTGACCATGAAGGCAGTGGCTGGCCATCGCCACCTGGCTTTGCTACTGGGGTCTACAGTGGGGGTCAGCCGCAGAGGCAGGGCTGCGACCTGGTGTCGGCCCACATCTGGACTTTCCTGCCAGCTCTTTAATACAATGAGTTTTGTCTCAAGTACAGTGCGTGTTCCTCCCTGTAGAGCTCTGGGACTCATAGAAGGTGGGACATCAGAGATTTTGGAAGTTCCCACAAAGCTTTCCCTTAGAAGGTTTGGACTTAAGTTGGCACCCCATCCAGCGGCTTCCAGGTGTTGACCATCAGCCAGGAAGAGGTTGCTGTAGCCTAGAAATTGAGGTTCCTAGAAAGGTTGCTCATGAGAAAACCGAGGATCCCAGAGGTGGAAGGACATGCCAGAGGTCACACAGATCCGAGACTTCAAGTCAGAGCTCCTAATTCCCAGGCCTCCCTTTTTTTTTTTTTTTTTTTTTACAAATATTTGAAAACAATGTAATGAGAATTTATGGAACAGATAAAGGGGCTATGGAAGGACAGAAGATGAGGCAGCGAATTCTGCTTGGATTAGCCCAATTTTGATCTTGAAATTCACGTGGGAGTTCATCAGGCAGTAGTGAGATGGAGAGAGATTTCAGGAAAAGGAAAATGTAGATGCAAAGGGCTTGAGATATTATAGGGCTGGAATGGGCCATCTCTCCACTCAGAACAACATTCTGGGGACAATGGTCAGAGCCTCTCAGTCTATAGGTGATAAAAAAGGCGGCCATTGGTGGGAAGGAAAAGGCACACCCTTTGCCCCATTCCAACTGTTTGTCTTGTAATTCTTACAGCATCGTGGCCTACAAACAAGCCTCATGACTGCAATATGGAGACATCGCAGAGAAATGAAGGTGCTGACCGACGGGAGCTGAAAATACCAGCAATGGCTTCTTTCGAAGTCAAAAGAAGGGACTGGGTGCTGGTGACCAAAGCAAGCCACTGCTCCAAAACCCCAGGTTCCAGCCGGAGTTGGCTTGGGCATGAGCTGCTCTGGCTCAGGGGTCCCTGGCTGGTGGGGAAAAGCACTTTCTTGGTGATAGAACTTTCTCAGCTTTCAGATGTCCCTGTCAGAGGTTAGGTTCTGGGGACAGTAGAGGGTGAACTTCCAAGGGTTAGATGCAGGGGGCCGTGCAGGGGCCGTGCACAGTCACACGAGACGCATAAAGGGCTGCAGACAGCAGCCCCTTTTCTTCCAGGAGTTGGCTCTAAGGTACCACTAACTAGTCACCTGGGTGCCGTGCTGGGGATCCCCCAGGAAAACTCAAGCCAAAGCATGCATTTTCAACAGCCTAGAGGGAGCGCAGAGGGGATGCTTTGTAAGAACTCCCAACAGTGAACATCAGCCAATATATATATATTTTTTAATTAAAATAAAACCTTGAAAAAAACTTAGCTTTCTTCCCTGAGGCCTTGTTAGCTGTGAACACTCAGGAGAGATTTGGGGCTGAGGCTCTTGGCTTCAGGGTAGTTTTACTGCCGTCATTACTGTTGTTTTTAAGAAGCAAATATCAAACGACTTTCTTTAGTGACTATTACATGGCATATTTTCAGTCAACACTACTTCTTCCCAAAGTGGGCGGTGTGGAGAGAGAGGGCAGAGGAGATAGGCCAAGAGCCGTCTTATTTTGAGGTACCTATTTTTACAGACTATTTTACTTACACATAGAAAAACAGGCTCACCTCCAAATAAAATCAACATTTACTGTATGCGTGTGAATCGTTCTTCCCCGGCCAGCCTCCCTCTATAACTACAGGCATGGCATTCTTATACTGGGGTAAAACTTAAAGCTAGGGAATGCATTTCAAGCTCCAAGCGTTTGGGCTCAGAGTTTACACCGCTGATCTCTTGCAGGGAATAAACAAGCCTTTCTGGCATGTCTTCTAGGTGCTGAGATACGGCAAGCACGTGACTGCTCACGCCCTGACAGAATGTTCTGTCCAGCAGGTGGAACAGACAGAACAGCTGGCAACCACATATCCTATAATAAATGGTAGCATAAGGGAGCATCTAACCAGGTTTAGGAGAGCAGGAGAGGCTTCTCAGAAGAAGTGGACTACGGTAACCCTGGAAGGGTAAGGAGTCACCAAGGCCAGAAGTTAAGGGACAGTCCAGGCAGAAGAAATAACAAGCTGGAAGGCCCGAAGGTGAAAATGTCTTTTGATATAGGAATTCAATATAAGGGAGCAAAGAGGGGGGGAGGGACAGGTACCAAAAGGACAGAATCAAGACCAGGAGATTAGAGTGGTAGGGAGAAACAACAATACACATATAGAGCCTTAAAAAGAGTTTCTCTTTGGGGCGCCTGGGTGGCGCAGTCGGTTAAGCGTCCGACTTCAGCCAGGTCACGATCTCGCGGTCCGTGAGTTCGAGCCCCACGTCAGGCTCTGGGCTGATGGCTCAGCCTGTTTCCGATTCTGTGTCTCCCTCTCTCTCTGCCCCTCCCCCGTTCATGCTCTCTCTCTGTCCCAAAAATAAATAAACGTTGAAAAAAAAAAGTTTCTCTTTAATTTGTTTAATGTTTATCTATTTTTGAGAGAGAAAGAGAGAGACAACAGGGGGAGGGGCAGAGAGAGAGGGTGACAGAGAATCCAAAGCTGGCTCCAGGCTAAGCTGTCAGCACAGAGCCCGATGTGGGGTTCAAACTCATGAACCATGGGATCATGACCTGAGCCAAAGTCAAGATGATTAGCTGACTGAGCCACCCCAGGCGCCCTGAAAGTTTCTCTTTAAAGTAACAGGGATAGCTGGTGGAAGATTTCACGCAGGAGTATGGAATGCGTCCTGGCATCCCTGAGAATGAACTGGGCCAGGAAGGGGCAGAAGGAGAGAGAAGACTTGCAGAAAGGACACAAGAGCAGAGCGTCTGGTAGTAACCCAGGTGACGGACAATGGCGGACTGACTTTGGATAAGATGTGAAGGTGCAGAACAGTAGAGGGACTTAGAGAAATCCTTGGGAGCTGGTGGTCAGCAGGAGTTGGTGACAGGTGATCTGCAGAGGGTGGGGCAGATGGAGGCAAGAATGCTCAGATTTGAGGTTCAGGCAACTAGGAAGAAGGCAGAGCCTCTCCCTGAGACAGACGACATGGGCGGAGGTGGGATGGGAAGTGGAGTTCAAGGCCAAGCTTACCTTGCTAAATTCTCACCGATTATGCTCCTTCCTCTTGGCTCCTTGCCTCCTGTCCCAGCCCCTGATCGGCTCCCCAACCCGGATGAATCTCATCATTGGCAGCTCCATTCCTGCTCCTGAAAAGCTGGCTTGGAGCATCCAGAAACATGTCCTTATTTGCTCACACTCACCCACCATACGCTTGTGGGTTTTGACCTGAGCTGGGCTCTCAAAGCCCCAGCACTGGCTCCTTTTCAATTTGTCACTAAGGTGGCAGTTTTGACCCTTCTCCACTTGCCCCAGGTCACCAATTCTTCTAACAGAGGTTCTAACCCCTTTGATCTTCTCAAAGTGTGGTTTCTGAACCAGCAGCTTCAGTATCCCCAGGGAACCTGTTAGAGATGCAAATTATTTGGCTCCACCCCAATCAAACTCTGGAGGTGGGGACCAACAATTGGTGTTTTCACAAGCCCTCAAGCTTAAGAACCAATGTTATCTATGGGCCTTTCTCTTCTTAAGAATGTTCCCTGAGTCCCTCTCCTCCTCTTCCTGCATCCTTAATTTTTGTTGTTTTTGTTGTTAAGTTTATTTATTTTGGGGAGGGGGGCAAAGAGAGAGAGAGGGAGAGAGAATCCCAAGCAGGCTCAGTGTTGTCAGCGTGAAGCCCGACTTGAGGCTCAAACCCACAAACCAGGAAATCATGACCTGAGCCGAAACCAATAGCCAGACACTTAACCAACTGAGCCTTCCCCCAGGCGCCCCCATCCTTAATTCTTGAGGCCCATAAAGCTCTGCCCTTGGTATGTTCCCCAAGTAATCTAGTCCACTCTCAGGGATTCCAGAACACTTTTTCCAACAATCTGGTCGACACCTCCACCTGGATTTCCTCAAACATAATTCCAAACCAAATTATTCTCCCACCTCACCATCTAAGCTACTCCAACCTTTACATTTTTCTCCTGATTGTTTCCACGTGTGAGTTAATGACGTCATCTCCCTGCTCCCAGGCTTGAAAACTCCATCTCATCTCTGATCCCCTCCCCTCACCACAGAAATCTCTTAAATTCATCACCCTTCCTATCGCCCATTGCCACAACTTTTATGATCTATTCCCATCTGTTCCCCAGGGCTTCAGTCTGACCACAGTCCACCAGCCTACTATCTCCATCACCTTCTTAAAGCAGTTACGAGAAATATATACCACCCCCCCTTAATTTTCATTTGACAAAGCAAACGGGAAGGATTGTTATGGGAATGCTTGATATTTAAGTTGGCCATATCTAAACAAGTAATAGAAGAGTCTTCCCGTAAGAGCAGCCCAGTCATCTAAGTGTTGGCAGACACATTGATGCTTTATATATATACATTATTGCCAAACCCATCAGCAACCCACCAAGGGAAAGCACGTCTTCATTGCAAAGATCAATATACTGAAGTTCAAAGAAATGGGACTTGCCTAAAACCACAGAAGTAACGAGTGGAAAAAGCTGAGATCTGATCCCAAAGCTCTCTTATCCCGCCTTGCTGCCTCATTGTGTATGACTGTAGTCTTGGATTAGTGATGTCTACTGTCAGTAAGTTCAAGTGCATTTCCAGTACTTTGGGGTCATTAACTGAGCATTCCGGTCTCCCTTCGAAACACACTCTTGACACCCTAACGAACCACAGGCATTTCTTCTTGCCTAACAGATTTTTTAAAAGCATCAGGGCAGTTAAAAAAAAAAAAAAAATGAGGAAATGACTGGTCCTGACTGAGAAGATGTTGTGCTTTGCTATGGGATGGAGTAGGAAAAAATCCTCACAAAAGTACCTGGGCTGGCTGCCAGGCTGCCCGCCAATCACAGTGGTTGTGAACAGACACCAGGTAGTTTCTTCATTTCCCCAAATCGGTGCCAACCTGTGGGGCGTAGAAGGTAAACTGAGGATAAATCTACGGAGAAGTAGAGTAAAAATAGGTTAAGTATATCTTTTTCCTGTTGCTCTGTATATCCTGATTCTTGCAGGCAAACTCATACCTCTTTAGAGAAAACAAGACAACAAGATACAAGGCACACGTGTTTTCCGGTCGTGTAAAGTGTTATAAATGACAACACAATTCAAGGTAAAGAAAGCATCATTCGTAGGTTTATTGGTCCATTACTTTAAGTTAATTGAGGTAAAGAAACCTTTTAAATTTACAAGCTAATAGTTAACAAGCAATACAAATTCTTTTGTTTACCTCAAAATGTAATACTAATTTCATAGTAAACAATGGACAGAGTTTTTTTATACACAGATATATGAAAAAAAGTGGACAAAAACCTCGTGCCAGCATCAAAAAATGCAACAAAACTTTTTTTTTTTCTTTTTACAATCTCTGGGTTCCATAACAAAGAAAGAAAGAAAAAGGTGACATTCTTTTTAAAGTTTGGTAGCTTCATGAAACAGAGACTTTGACCTGGGAATAAATCACTTTCTCGTCCACACACATTCTTGAGCACATTTTTTTTTTTTTTCACAGCTTCTGATTTGGCTTATTGGCAGCATGGAGAGAAGAGAACACATTTACACGGAGGGAGGACTTCATCAATACCTTGGGCGGGGGGAGGGGTTCTTCTAAAATTTTAAATGTGAAGAATGACCTCTAAAAATAAGAAATACAGTCCACACTTTGGACATGACCTAAGCAAAAGTTTTGAATCTCTTTTTCAACAGTTAAAATACAAGTTAGAAAGGTTGCTGGCAGTTTATTTTATGGAAATATATCAGATGTACATCATCTCTCAACGCATTCCCAATGCGCGGACATCGAGGAATCAGGCACACGGAAGTACAATGGTTGGGGGTGCCTACGGGACAGGACCAGACCTCAGGGGTGTCCAGGTGGTGGTGCTGACTGCTAACAGCTGCTGGTTTGTTGTTTGACGAAGGCCCAGCTGACACAGGTGTCTTTTTGTCATACAGATTCTCATCTTGTTGGCAATCTGCTTTCCCCTCCCCGTTCCCACACTGCGGAAAAAAGCCACCCCCCTTTTCTCCTTCCGGTACCATCGAGACTGAAGGGTTGGTCTGAGACTGTGAACAACCTGTTACTCAGGGGTGGGGACAGGTGTGACCTGCTCTGACCTGGCATGCAGGAAGCCCAGAATCACCTGGTGAGGGGGTGGCATTGCCAGGGACATGCGTGTTGCAATACTCCGTCACTGGTTTTAATAGTAAAAGCTCTATTAAAATGGACTAAAGAATCAATGGGTTTTAGGTTTTTGGCATTTCAACCTGTGGAGAATTTCTATCTGACACACGCTGCTCTGAGCACCCCCCCCCCAGTTATCTTTTAAAAAACTGTTCCGCAGAATGGGGGTACACCATTAATATTGTCATAATCTAGAGTTCTCTGTATCTACGTGATTTGTCAATGCTGATACCATATATCCTCTACAATCAAGAGTGTGCCAAAAGGCACTAAGTTAATCTTTCACACTTTAACACACACACACACACACACACACACACACACACACACAAACGGTTCAGTGGTCCCTGTGTTTCCTTACATTATCAAAAATATCATTTGGCAATAGCAATACTTAGCTTTCTCTTCCCAAAAGGCAGCCCTAATT